AGTTAGAGATAGCATTTAGTTAGTTGCAATATATATTGTTAGTAAATTGTTATCTGTGTGATGTCAAGAAATGAGACTATACATATATTTGATTTACATAGTACATTAGACACCCCAACTGTACTGTACATACTGTATATGTATTGCATATTTATTAGAGTTGGGATCCAGCTTTTGCTAATTTTATAATTATGAAAAATTGTGAACTACAGTATCCATCCAAACTATTTGGGACAGCCCAAACCACGTTATGATTAGCATCAAATAGTTTTAACTAGTAGGTTAAAACCAATGTGATGCTAATTATCACATGGTTTGGGACGTTTGGATGCACTAACAAAAAATGTCGGGGACGCAATTTTACATATAAAAAACCAGCTTTATTCTTATTTCTAATAAAACCCAACCCTAATGCTAACTATATAGGTAATTCAGGCCCATATCCGGAAAATTTGGACGGCAACTATAGATTCAATTGTCCGATGTTATACAGTATGATCGTGCGAATTTTGTCTACATTTTTTTTTGTCATGAAATTACGTAATTGTGAAAAATATCACCCAAAATTGACTCAATCATTGAATTCAAATGAATCTCAATGGATATTTCTGTATTTATCGTTATCCATTGAGGTCCATGGATAACAACAATTGTCAATCCTGCCCCAAATCATCACACGCTTGTCGGATAACATCATACATTCACATTCATACAGTAATAATCAATGTCACTCATGTGCTACCGCGCAACGCATATTTCCGATAAAAATTTCACAATATCAAAATATATATAGTGATATATTGTGTATATGCGAAATATAAAATCAAGTAGAGCCATATTACGTACCCTTACTACGTATAAATTTTTTTTGTTACGTATAATAACTACATACATACATTACATACAGCAGTACATTATAACTATAAAAAACAATATACATTTTTTTTAGTAAATTACGATCATTTCCCACGCTTGGTGCTACGTAAGAATATAAATACCTGCATCTACGCAAAATATCCGGTGTTAAAAAAATCATGGTACCTAGCACTTCTGAAGATCCTTTTCACAAAATTATTTTAAAAAATAGTTCTGAAAAATCAGAATTCTTAAAAGAATCTTCTTCTCAATACGGGTACAATGGCAGAATTGATTCTATACGTGAAAATGAATATCCACAACTGAAAGGTACTTAAAATTTCTTTTGATTTTTTTTAGATTTTATTTGATTTTACTGATTTTTATTTCTTTACAAGGATCCGTTTATCTTGATCATTCTGGTGCGACTGTATATGCAAAAAGTGTCGTAAGTTCCTTCACTAATGATCTTACAAATAATCTTTTTGGAAATCCTCATTCGTACAACCCCAGTTCCCAGCTTACTTCTCAACGAGTTGAACTAATTCGGGCTCGTATTCTGAAACACTTTAATGCAAATCCTGCGGAATATCAAGTTATATTTACTCAAAATGCGAGTGCTGCTATTAAATTGGTTGGTGAAGCTTTTCCTTGGACCTATGGTCAAAGTTCTTTCAGATATTTGAGAGAATCTCATAATAGTGTGATAGGCTTAAGACGTTTTGCCGAAGAAAATAACTCTCCTATTATTCAAGCTATAACTGAAAAAGATTTAGAATCATCCTTTAAAAATATACATGAATATCCGATTAATGATAATCTAAATTCTGAAATAAATCAAGATATTGTATATAATCTTTTCGCTTATCCTGCACAATGCAACTTTTCTGGTCAAAGATTTCCACTCAAATGGACACAAATGATTAAAAGATTAAATTCTGATAAATCAAAGACATTGGTCTTACTTGACGCTGCTGCTTATGCAGCAACTTCTTCATTATCATTAGCTGATAAAGACACATCTCCAGACTTCGTTGCTATCAGCTTTTATAAAATTTTTGGATTTCCCACAGGTTTGGGTGCTTTATTAGTAAAAACTGAATTGACTCCTATATTAAAAAAGCGATATTTTGGTGGCGGGACAAGTATGCAAATTAATTCACATAATTTATAATCAAAATATAAATATATATATTCTTTATATTAATAATATCTATTATTAATATGTAGTTCGTGCAGTTGCTTATGATCGATTATGGCAAGAATTTCGAGAGAATTTGAGTGACCGTTATGAGGATGGTACTATTAACTTTTTGGAGATTATTTCCCTAGAACATGCGTTCAATTCAATAGAACGAATATATACGAACTTTAATAATATTAAGAATCATGTGACTTCCCTTAGCTCTTATCTCTACAAACGAATGAATTCACTTAGACACTGGAATGGTTCACCTGTGTGTGTTATCCATGCTAATAATGACTTTTCAGATAGTTCTATTCAAGGTCCTGTCTTCAATTTTAATGTAAAACGTGCTGATGGTTCTTGGGTTGGATACCTTGAGGTAGAAAAGTTAGCTAGTGTAAAAGGTATTCATGTTAGAACTGGTGGTTTTTGTAATCCTGGTTGTTTATCAAGATGGGTAAACGTTAATTCGGATCAGGTTATGGCTAATTATAAGGTAATTTTATATGAAAATATGCACAGTTAACTCTTACAACAAATTTTAACATTAATTCATTATAAGGTGTCACTTTTATATAGTTGATTTGTTTTTTTTTGTATGATCTACTAAAATTTGTTATATCGAGTTGGCTGTACGTATTATATTCGTGATTTATTATATGATATTTTATCTATATTAACATTGTTTCTTATGCAACGTAGACTGGAAAAGTATGTGGTGATGATCATGATATTCATAACGGCAAGCCTACGGGTTCAATACGTATCTCTATAGGTGCTATGTCAACTATTGATGACATTCTTGTTTGGTTAGATTTCTTCAATACATATTTTGTGGAATCAATCCCACCATATAAAATGTCACAAAAAGTTGGTATTGACACCAATATAACTTATTCAAATCAATCAAATTTGGTTGTGGAAAGAGTAACTTTGTGTATGTTTTTTCCCTCAGAAATAAATAAATAAATAAATAAATAAATAGGATCTCTTGCAGTATAGGTGAGACTATTAATAAAAAGTATAATTAATCAATTGATTTAGATGGTATCACCTATATTGCAAGAGATCCAATAAATATATATTAACATTATAAAATAATTGATGTTTGCTTTTAATATTGGCGCTACAGATCCAATTAAATCATGTCACGGATTTACCATACCACCTTCATCTTCCTGGCCAGTAACTAGTCAAGGACTATTATATGACCGTGAATGGATGTTGGTAAATTTAAGAACTGGAAAGGCATTAAGTCAAAAAATGTAAGAACTTACTAATTAATGTCATTAACCATTTGGTATTGAGAGTAATTTTTGTGCTATAAAATAACAGATTCCCAAGGATGACTTTAATACGTCCAGTCGTTTTTCGAGATAAAGAATTGCTTGTTATTTCGGCACCTGGTAACGTCATATAAATAAATTTATTTTATTGTTTATGTTTTATAAAAATTATTAGTAATAATAATATTATTATTGCACTTTATATGAAATAATACATTCAAATAGGGCAAGATCCTCTTCAAATAAAGTTGAATGAATATCCTGATGACATTGACTCTTCTACTACATGTTCGTCTCAAGTTTGCGGTGACAAGTGTGTATTTACTTATTTACCTTTTCTAATAGATTCATTTGATGCCTTAATAGATTATTATATTAAATTAAATTTAAATAATTAAACATTTGTAAACTAGGATTGAAACATTTATATACACATCTCCACATATTACAAATTGGTTTACAAATTTTCTTGGTATACCATGCCGCTTAGCTCGACAACCACCTATAACCAATAATGACAATAATTTCATTCAATCTCAAAGATTCATAAAGCCGCATCTTGATGTACCTATGACGAATGCACATCTTTCATTATCAAATGAATCACCGTTTTTATTGATTTCACGTAACAGTGTTAATCATGTTAATGAAATGATTCTTGAAAATGAAAATAAAGATGAAACAATTGTTGCTGATTGTTTTAGAGCCAATATTTTAATTAAAGCTACATGTGAATATGAAGAAGATGAATGGAAAATGATTAGGATTGGTGGACAAGTGTTTAGGGTAAAATATCTAATTTGTTTGCGCTCGACAAGTTTATGTGACATTAATTCAATTTTTTTATTACTTTAAAGTTAATTGGTCCGTGTAGAAGGTGTCATATGATCTGTATAAATCATGAAACTGCTGAAAAAATTAAAGAACCATATTCGACTTTAGCAAAGTATCGTCGATTTAAAGTAAGTTTTATTTTCATCATTCCTTTTTTTTTTTTTTTGCGTGATTTTACTCATAATAATACATTATTTCATTATAGGGAAAAATATTCTTTGGGCAACATATGATTCATGATGCTGAACTTTCTGATTCACCTTTTGAAATTAAAAGTGGTGCAAAATTTGAAATATTAGAAAAATTTCAGGATCAACAAGAGATATTTAGATAATTGGCAAGGTAATTAATTCATTACTATTTGAGTGAAATGAGACAGTTGAAAAGTCTTGATACAAATTTCTCAATGCTTTTCTCGTTTTCCTTCATCCTTTTTTCGTTGGAATTGTCCCCAAGTTAGAATGGGATACCGGAATACTGGAGCTTTTGCGAAAACAATTAACTCAGCAACCTTTACCAAAACAAATTTTTTTACTAAATAAAGCACAGAACTAAAAAAAGTTAGGGAATTAGTTGAATAAAGAACTGACTTTTTTTTCGCAAATGTGGATAGGTTAAATGGTATAATGTCCTGACTACTAATAGATTTAGACTGTAGATATTCTTTAAATGAATCAATACGTATGAATTAAGAGTGTAAGAAATAATTCTGCGATAAAATAAGTTAATGCTAAAAGAATTGTATTTTTTAAAACGAGCGAAATATTTCAAAGTATCAAATAATAAATGACAATGTACAGTATACAACTTGTAGTCATCCCTCACATGTCAGCATTTGTGCATTTATTATGGTTTCAATACAGTATCAATGTCGACTATTTTCGAAATTTCCATAAAAGAGCGTTAATTTCATTTCATTTGAGAAAACATTATAAAACCAATTTATTTATTGATAATTAATACAATATAATGTAAAGGCCATGGTTTAAATCTATTTGACATGAAAATTTACAAATAATCGATCAAAAAAAAAAAAATTTCAATATTCTTAACGTAACAAATTTAAGTTTTATTTTTAATCAATCCTATGTGTAATTATTTGATTTATCTATTTTTATTTCAGTTTACAAATTTTTAACTAAACGCGAGCTTTCATCATAATTATCTGCATCTACCCTAATGTCTACCCCAACGTCTATTTTAACATAAACCCTAAAATCTACGCTAACGTCTACCTTAGCACTAACGTCCAAACACACGAAGTAACGTTCGATTCAGAGATGCTGTTGCGAGTTCCGTGAAAGAATAATGAGTAACGATATGAAAAAAAAACAAAACACAAGTACAAAAAACCAATACGAAAACTACGAAAGAAAAAGTACCGAAAACGGCGAAAGATAAAAGACACCGAAATGGACGACACCAATGACGAAAAAAAAGAGACCGAAAAAGACACGACGAAGAAAAGACGACGCTAAAATAGACAACTATATTAAAAAAAAAAATAAATAAACAAATAAATTATAAATTAGAAAAATAAATAAAATAAATTAAAAAATATATACTTTTGTAAATATAAATTTTTAGTAACGATATATAAAAATACTTACTTTTTCTGCCACTGCGTAGAGATAATATTTCACCAAAACGTTCGCTAAAGTTTATGTTGACGAATGATTCGAAAAAAAAAAGGGACGTTATACCGACACGAATACTATGTCGATATAACGTCCCAAATAAAAAAAGCAATACTTTAAGGGTGTTTCCGACTCTAGGAGGGTGTTTTCAAACTCTAGAAGGGTGTTTTCAAACTTTAGAAGGGTGTTTCAAACTCTAGGAGGGTGTTTCAAACTCTAGGAGGGTGTTCAACTCTAGGAGGGTGTTTCCGACTCTATAAGGGTGTTTTCGACTTTATAAGGGTGTTTCCGACTCTATAAGGGTGTTTTCGACTTTATAAGGGTGTTTCCGACTCCTATAGAATCCTATAGCTAGAAGCGGCATGAAGCTCACGCTTAAGAAGTATTTCATTCTCCTACTAGGACTCCAATAGGCAGAAGCTTTTACTTAAGGAAATTTCATAACTATTCCCGCTTGTGAAAACAGTAGACCTTAAGTGTAAAAAAATTCGAAAAAGCTTCTTGAGAAAAAAAATTTTTTAACTGGATCATATTTATAATTTTGATCTGATTATTCACATAATCAGTCACTGTGACGCGATCAAACAATCAACAATCGCGTTATTAAAAAATAACAAATCACATCTGTATATTGGTGCAACAAAAACAATGCACGCATCACCAATTATATTTTACGCGAAATACGCGCGCTAATCAGCTAATCATTAATTTATTTAAAATGTTATACTATTCACTTGTCATAGTAAATTTCCCTATGTTTTCATATTGTGATAATGAAAATTAAAAATTTTTCCTATTTAAATGAAGTTTATATATTTATGTTGTAAATGGATACAGAATATATATTCATAATCAACTCAAGTTGATTATTGTAATGATTGTACATTTTTATTAATTTGCAGATATTCTTAATCTAAAAAAAACTTGAGACGAATTTGATTAATAAAGACAGTATTCTAATAGGCATTATAAAATTTTATTTCACGAATCACATATACAGTATAACAGTGCAAAGTGATAATTTTTTGTATTATAAAACTTTTATTCACGAATCAATTATACAGTATCAGGTAAAGTGATAATTAGAGCTCTTACCCGGGTGGGTCGGGGTATTGACCCGGGTTATTACCCGGGTCATCGAGTCAAACGGAACTTCATAAAGTTTTGAAGTTAATCCTTAAAAGTTGATGCAACGATACTTAATTAGAGCCGTTAATATATACACTCATAAAACATTGGTTCAAACTATACTTTATTGTCCGGAGCGTAGCGAAGGACATTTAATGGACGAGTAAAGTACATCGAAAATTGCGTTTATGATGTCTGTCCGCACACGTGAAAAAAGTTACGTTTTTGATGCATAACTATATTCGATAATTTATTCGCTCCGGACTTACAACAGTTTCTTAAAACTGATTACATGATCGAACACTCAAAAATCAGGTTCTATAAATGTCTTTTAGAAAAAATAATTTTACTATCGGAATAAGTTTATTTGGTCTCTACTATGTCGTTATCAATTTTCACTCTTCTAGTAGTATTACAGTATTTATTTCTCACCACGCAGAGGTGTATCCTATGACTAAGTTTATAATTGTATCCTACAAAAGGACGTTATGCATCGAAGTTACTGTTCTTAGAAAAACTGTATGGCTATTATAATTCATAGAAAGGCTTTCATATGATTGGCCGAAGTACACTGGTTCGCAGAATCAAATATTTGCTGCAATATCGATATTGAATGATTTCTCAGATAATTATTTCATTTCAGACTCTAAATCGAGACCATTTTACATAATGATCGCCTATGACATTGATTATGATATTTCACTTAACCCGATTTAGGGTTTGAATTCATAATACAATATCGAATATCGAAATTATATTTTGTATAATTTTTTATTGTATAGGGTTGTAAAAAATATTATAGTATAATAACATTGATTAATATACCGTATAAAATTTATTATATCGTATAATTACATCCCTATGTATAGTAATACCTTGTCATTATTATTGGTTTATTAAAGTAGAATTCCTCGCGTTTTTTCTTCTTTTGTTACGCGCTTCGATTTATTTCGATTGGGTTGATTAAATTTTACGATTTGATTGGTCGATACTTTTCTCATACTATCTTGTATAGCTACCTGCAGACATATTAACTGATCAAATAAATTTTATGAAACTAATCAATTCATGTCTGCTTCTAACAACGACAAACGAAGGTAAAAGAGTGTTTTGAAATAGAGTTTGAAACCGATTTTATTTTTCATATGTTATAACCGATTAAAACCTTTTTTAACATATGAAAAGAGGGTCGGTTTTGTCATTACAGCATTAACATATTCATTTTCAAAAAACTTAATGATACAACATCCATTCAGCCCGATGTACTGAATCCTTCTGTGATCAAAATATTCAATCCTTCTGAGATGGTTAATTTCCCTGAAATACAACTCACTCTCGTTATAGTGAAGCCATCGGGCCGAAAAAAAAAAAATACTTATATCGAGAGAATACTATATGTACTTCACTATATCGAATTGAAGTTTAATAATTCCGCAATTCAAAATTCTTCACTATAACGAATCTTCCAGAGTTAGCTATAACGAGAGTATGTTGTACTGAATCCTTCTGTGCCCAATTCATAAATTTCCCAGAAATTTTAGGTAACTGTACATTTTGTAGTACTTATATAATATTTTCGTAGATCGCGGGCCCGAACTTTAGACAGCCACAATCAATGAATGATGATTATAGAGCAACAGCTTTTTTTTTATATATCGAGGACGACGGTTACTATATAGCAAAGTAATTGTGTTACTATTATATTACTAAAATTATAATTAACCGAACTGCTAAATTATCTTTTAGAATTTCTTAACATCTCTATTTATTGAGAATCATAATTATAATTTCTGAAATTAATGAATCTCATTCTATTCTTACTATAGAATAGCTATAATTCAAAGTGTATGTTAGGGAGTAGGAATATCATATACATATTATAAAATTTATTTTCTATCAGGTACTGAAGAATCTTTGGTGGTAACACTTATGTCTGGATTAGCTGCACTATAATCCAACGAATCCTAATTAAAATCAAATTTTGGCGTTAGAAATCAATATTTTAAAAGAGTGGCGCAAGCCAAATTTTAGTGTATGTAAATTAAAATTACTACAGTATATATATAAATTAAATAGCATGCCACTAAAATTTGACTTGCCAACAACCCTAATTAGTATTATCTACACAGATGATTCGATGGTTAAAGAAATAAGGTACTTGATTATTCTTTTTTTTCATTTTTTCAATTGCTTGGTCAGGGTAAACTGCGTCTTTATCGTAGGCAGTCTCTGTTTGAGCGATATGATTTGTCTCTCCAGAGACAGTTTGTTCTGTTCGGTTACCTGATCTCGAATAAGTATTGCTGGATTTTTTATCATCTTTTTGTGCTTCTGATGATGTTAAGTGCTTCTTATAATTGTTTTGGTGTTCCTGTGAGTTACTTGAGTAACTGCAAGCTGATAAGTCGGAAAAAATACGAAATTGTGACAGAGAAACACGAGCACATCGAATTGAACGGGTGTACATTTTTGAAAAAGACGATATTTTATTAAGATGTTTTGCAGATTTATATGTTATTAAGACGTTTTTGCGGATTTATATAAATTATTAAGATGTTTCGCAGATTTATATAAATGATGACCGATACGCCATGGTGATATCATTATCATAGTAAAAATACATGTGAATACGTATATTAAATTATATATATATATATATATATAGTATATATTAAAGATATTTCGTAGTTTAATAGTAATAGTTTTTTTTTTGGTTATACGTATACGTACTGTTTATGGTGCGAACCATTAATGTCGATTTTGTATATATATACTTAATAATTTTCAAACTAAAGCCACAAAATATCACTATTTTCGGATAATATAAAATGTTGGCAACGTGACACAAGATCGGTATAAATTTGATCAATTTTCCAAACTTTTATCGTTATAAATCTTTTTTTAATCATGGGAAAACGAAAAGCTAATAAAAATGAAGATCCTATCGACTCAGCAACTATGGATGTATCCGAAGAAGATACGGAGGACTCTGACGAAGGTGTTTCTGACGGAGAAGAAAATTCGCATTTAGATGTACTATCATAAATTTTAATAATTTTAATTTACTATTCGATATCAATTTTAAAACAATAATATTCATTTGCTAATTATAGGAAGAAATAGTGGATATAGATTTTGACTTTTTTGATCCAAAACCAATCGACTTCCACTCAATAAAAAACTTAATTATTCAATTATTTTCTACGGACGCCGAACTATTCAACATTAGTGAACTTACCGAACTGATTATTGATCAACCATTATTAGGTACCACTGTAAAAGTTGATGGAGCTGATTCGGATCCTTATGCAGTTCTCACAGTTTTAAATATGAACGAACATTTGGTAAATTTAAATTTAAAATTTTGATTAATTAAGTTTCTAGTTATGATTTAAAATAAATAAGTTTTTCGAATAGGAAAAAAAATGTATTCAAGATCTGATTAAATACTTATTAGACAAGACAAAACCAGATCAGACCTTAAATGAAAAACTTGATACGTTATTAAAAAAAGACTCCACAAATCATGTTGGATTAATATTAAGTGAAAGATTAATTAACATGCCAGTACAGATTGTGCCGCCTATGTATAAAATGTTGCAAGAAGAAATTCAGTGGGCTGTTGATGATGTAGGCATAAGAAAATTTATTTAAAATTTAAATCAATTTGAGAAAATATTGTTATTTAAAAAAATTAACGTTTTTTTTTTTTTTAGAATGAACCATACAATTTTGAATGGTACCTTGTGTTGTCTAAAACTTATCAAGAAGTCATGTCTACTTTGGACGACGAAAGCAGTCAAAGTAAAAAACAAAAAAAGAAAAAAGCAAAGGTATCTATTAGTATATATCAATTTAATTTGTTGACATAAAAATTTTAATTCATTTTTTTTATTATTATTAGTCTGAACCAACAATATTTTATTTTCATCCCGAAGATGAAATCATTGAACGGGTATTTTAATTTTAATTTAACTATCCAATTCACATTTTAATGATCCTCAATTTATAAAAAAATATATATATTTTTAGAACGCAGAATACCAACTTAATTTCAATTTTACAAAACAGCCATCAGTTTCAGACTCCAAAAGAGCTTTTTCAAATTTTGGTATTGCACCTTCTATGAAATTGTTTTTGTTTAATAGGTCTAAGTTTGACAATTTGGTTCGAGATTTAGAAAATGCTTGCAAATAAATACATGGTAAGTAAATAAATAAATACATGCTATATCTCAGATCATAGTACATATAATTCCATTTTACCAGTCGACCTATTGCTAACCCTGGCTTTTGCTAATCATGATCTACTACTAGCGATTCTTTAAATATAAGTATATAAAAATATTAAATTAAAAATTATACTATACACTAACCAAAGTAATTATGTAATTTATAAATAAAATACGTGAATCCTAGTGTAAACCAATTCTAGCCATGGAGATCATTAAATTGTTTTTTTAAATATGTTAGCATCCTTTCCAAGTTATTTTTACTCTTCCATCATCTAGGTTGGCAATTTGCTATTTTATAGATTAAGAAAGAAATGTAAATATATATATATCATTTATATATTAACGAATTTACCATAACTTACTTTAAAAGCTGTCGATGACATATCAATGTCACCGCTTTTACATACAGGGCACTTTAAAAAAAGCATTCAAATGTTAGTGATGAATGTTAGTAAATAATAATAATAATAATAATAATAATAATAATAATAATAATAATAATAATAATAATAATAAAAGCTTTACCTTATCCACAACTTTTACTTTAACGGTTCCCTTAGGTCCAGTGATTTGTATGCATTTCCCGCACACTGGCGAATCACCAGGGTCAGCATATATACCGTATTGTGGTGCATTCTTTTAATTAATTAAAAAAAAAATTTAGATAATGGATGGAAATGATTATAATAAAAAATATTTTTAGAAATTTTTACCATAGCAGCAACTAATTCACTATCATAATTTTGCCATCCACATGAACCTATTCCCACACCCGGATCTATCAAAAGATGCGTTGAATTAATATATATGCTACAGAAATGTATTCTGCTCTCAGTACAGCTAAGTGCAGGTCTAATAAAATGCAAATAAGCTTCGTTTCCAAGTATATAGAGCAATATATATTTTATTTTAGGATATTTTTTTACTGGCAAATTTTCCTGCCTTAGCAGAGCTGCACTTGGAGTTGACTGTAATCTCTTTGACAGTTTGACTTACCATAATAAGTGCCATCTCCACTCCCACTCATATCTAATCCTGATGCTCCAGTATCATAACTTTGAAATCCACCAACAGCGGCAATTATTATAATTATTAGTAAAGCTATAAGAAATAGTCCTAATGAAATTAATATTGCATATTTGTATGGTGCTACTCTTGGATGTTTTTTTTCTAGCCATTCGCTCCATTTGTAATATGGGGTTAAAAGAACGTTACAGCATGGCGCGCAAGCGGTTTTGGTCTTTTGCCATGCGGAAGGTTTGGTTGATTGATTAGATGGGACTGGAGGTGGAAGAGATGGTAATGATTTTTCTGTGGATGATTGAGAGGAGTTACCAATGCGAGTTATAGATGAAAACATTATTTATTTTAATTTTTTTATTTTTTTAGAGAAAAGCCGTTATAGCAATTTACTTTCAATAACGAATTTCTTTTTAGAATGGTCTATCCGATGACACAAAATTTAGTAGATATATATTTTTTGCAGATATGTAGTACTTGTGTTAATTGAATTTCAGTTATATTTATAAACTATATTGCATTGTTTTTTTTATCTCTAAAAAAAATACGTATATGGTAATAATAATAATAAATAATAATTCGTTTGTCTTATGCCCTGCTAGCCAGAGGAAGGCGCAAATACCAATGCTCACTGACCAACCACTTATGGAAAGAGAAATAACTAGTATACGTAATTATGATAAAAGTGTTGGGCTAAGATGAGCTAAAAAATGGTAACGGTAATGGATGCTAACAATTTAATAGGACTGATTCGGCCAGCGACAAGAAAAAAACCTGAATTCGTTCTGTGAGCCTTATAATTTGTCGTATTTATATCTAGGCAAAGTTCTTCTGTCTCTAGGGTGTCTTTCAACCCTTTTACCTGTAATTCAACTAGGGCACTTTTAGAAGCGCGTTGCAAGCATATGCTCTATCGTTTTGAATTTTTCCTGCATATCTGCTAAAATTCTCATAATTTTCTTCTCTTTTTCTACTTCTACTTGTTTCCTTTTCTCCTGCCCAAAGCTTCTTTGTTTGAGCCAGTTGCAACTTCTACTTTATAGTACTTTGGATTGGGTATTCTTATGTTTTCTAAACTGCTAAGTAGTTTTCTGGTTATGCTACGTAATCTAGAGCTGCTATTAGCTCTACTACTTTGTTTACTACTATTATATTTACCATTCAGCTTTTTTGTTATTTGATTTTGACCAGTCTGACTTGTGGCAAATCTTTGTAAAGAACCATGCCTAATTTTGTTTTCATTCTCTGATTTGTATTTATGTTTGTTTTTTTTAGAAGAATCTATTAGACTATATTTATTTGCCCATTCTAATTTTGTATTATAATAGTATATCAATCTCCTGAGTGCATCTTGCATGTCAGCCTTATTTTCAAAGTATATTGTAGCTACTTGTCTTTGATTACCATTTCGATTCTTTGATATGTAGACTGCTTTTGCATTTA